ATCATTTCTGTCAACCTGGTTGGCCACCAGCACCACACTCAGTTCGGCCCACAGAAGTGCCTGCAAAAGATGTCTATCCATGTCAAGTATAATAAATAAGCAGACCAGGGATTGAACCTGGGACCACCTGACATATACCAAGGAGCTCTACCAACTGAGCTACCTGGTCTTGGTTCAGAGGACATACTAAGGTATAGGACCTTGTATAGCTGAGTGTAACTGTTGCCTACTACCCATAATGGCCTTCATGCAAGGCACTAGGTATTGGTAGGTCTCATGACAGTTCAGGGACTCACTCATGTTAGATGAGTAAGCATGATTACCCATTCCAACAATCCACTCAAAGGATCTGTGTGATGTGGTCAAATACATCATGACAGATCCTTGTCCCTTTCTATGTCGTGATCACCAACTATGTTAACAATCTCATGACAAGTTCAATCCAGGTCCTGTGTTGGCTTGTCATGAACTGGTACAATATTGTGAGGAGGGAGGTTATTACGAGAGGGTTGTAGGTCTGGTGTAGGAGTATTGTGGATGGCTTTTAGGAATATTGTGCAGGTATTGTAGCTTTGTGGGGTGGATTGTAGAGGCATGGTAGTGGGATTGTAGGGTCACTGTTGGGGTATTGTGGGCAGATTATTGTGTAGGTTTGTAACAAGTGTTGTAGGTCCATTGTGGGGGCATTGTAGCTTGTTGTGAGGATGTTGTTGGATCATTGTAGCTTATTGTAGGGTTGTAGGGATATTATGGGGGGGGGGTATTGTAGTTTGTCATAAGGATATTGTAGCTTTGCATCATGGATTGTGGGGGCATTTAGGTGCATCAGAGGTGTGTTGTTGACACATTGTATATTTGTATTATTGTTGAGGCATTGTAGCAATATTGTAGGTATTGTGTGGGGCTATTGTAGGTTTGTAACATGGATTGTGAGAGCATTGTAGCAGGATTGGGGGCATTCTTGGGGCATTGTAATGAAATTCTTGAGGGTTGTGGGGGGTATTGTATGATGATTGTGGATTTATGCTGGGACCATTGTAAATAGGCGACATCCCTTGTCAACAATATCATGTGTGTGACCATTATGTAATGTGTAACAGTCACACAGCAAATGTTTTGGGTGTCCCAGGGCCCAAAAACTAGAATACTTTGAAATTATGTTTGACAGAGTCAAGAAATGGCAAACAGATATTGAGTCAGAGCAAGTGTTAGAATCTGGGAACCCAGAGATTACTCAAAAGGCTCATTGACAACATATCTCAGTTCTACACTGGTAACAAAGGTCCTGTAGATGATGAGCTCAATGACATCTTTGCTATTGCGCCCCCACATAAACACAACCAAACATTACCTTTTCAAGAAGAATATCATGTGACCTCCGACCCATTCAGCCGCATCACTAAAAATTACTGGACCCAGCTGTATTAAGTAAATGCTGAATACAATGCCATCATATTGTTGTGATGCATCTGTTATGCATCCTATGTCTGGTGTAGTGGTTGTGCTGCCTAGATTGAGTGCTGGATGTCTGGAGTTCAATTACTACTGGTGCAAATTTTTTGCCTACACCCTGTTAGGGTTAGGGTTTATCAACTTCCCTTACTGTTAGCTTTTATATTATCCTTGTCAGCCACATGTATCACAGCTATATAGATTTGAATGGAAATTAATTTTGCCCCATCTATATGACCCTCTCAGTCGAGACCGAAGATCCTCTAACTGGCCGGACACATGCGCAGCGGGAAGCCTGCGTTTGCCGGCATCACATGACATTCTTCTCGATATAGTATATTTGTACATGTTTGCATAGGGTGCAGTAAAGCTACCTGCTCAATGACTACTAAATATGGTAGTATTAGGTTAGGGTTATATCTGGATATGAACATTATGTAACCATGGACCACCAATATCAGCGGCAAATTTTTTGTCTCCAAAATCCTTTCCTCAGAACCCACAGAAAAACATGATTGGCAACTTGAAAGACAATTATCGCAATGTTTTGATCCTACTCAACATAGACATGAGATTTCTATGAACTAAAACCTAGAAAATGTAGAGGAGCTCTATAGGCACCTTTCCTCAGTTCTACTTTGCCAATAAAGTTGTCACCGCCATGGAAGTATGCTGCCATTGCCTGCTGTCACAGTCGGTCACATGATGTTGTTGACAATGGATGTTGCCTATCTTAGGTATGAGTGTGGAATAATTACTAGTGATATCTGCCTTACTAATGCTATTTGATGGCCACAAAATAGTTTTTTCACTGCCAGCTCTGAAAAGCCTTGGGGGATTGTGGTCACCCTGTATATGGCTACATGTTTACTTAAGGGTCCATCTGTGCAACCCACGGTCCAATAAACCTGGATCTATAGTAATGCCATCTCAGCTGCACCCAAAAAACACCAACATGTTGCTACCCTGCAGTGAATACCCCTGATATCTTCCTGAATTGGTGGTAAACACCTCAGTAGGTATGTGGCCTCTTTCCTGCAATTTTCTGACTTCATTTGGCACCTGTGGCCAATTGCTCGTGCTGTGCAGTACTATTAATAGCACTATTAGTGCCACATCTGACTCCAGCACTATGCATACTGTTTGCAGAAGTTTACGATTTTTTGCAGGAGCCTGAGTGTGGCCCTTGCACCAGAGTACAGCTATGACATAGGTGAACTGCAAGTTTGGCAAAAGTGCATGCCAGCCATGTCATAGCTTTCCACAGTCAAGCCCAGCATACCACACTTTGAAGTCCATTAGCAGTGGACTTGAAATGAGGATGCAGCCACTTAGATTGCAGTAATCCCAATGTAAATCTCTTGTTTCAAACTCCACCACAATAGTCCCACACTAAGTCTTCAGAAAGTAAACTAGTATGGAAAGAAACACTCACAGGAGATGACAAAACAAATGTAAATCACCAAACTATTTGAGGGCATCTGGTGTATTATGTATATAATATATTTGAAAGGCCAGGCCATCCAAGCGTCTGACAGAAGAGCACCAAGGCGATCACTGCAATTTGACACTATAAAAAGAGATTTGTAGATATACCACCCCCATGGGTTATATAGTATATAATGGATTTGCCACAATCAGTGTAAAATATAACCTGGTGCACAATCATATATAGCAATCCACCCGTAGGGGATGGTATATAGACTGTAGGAAGCAGAAGTTGTAGCTGGGGAGAGGCTCCAGGAGGGGTAGAAGCCAAAAGTGGTAGCTAGATGGGATCTACTTGGGATCTCTTGGAATTGTAAGTAAACCTGTAGCCTGATATGGAATATGTATGGTCCCAAAAGGATGTAGCATTGTGGTATGTGTTAGGGTTGCAAAATTCAGAAAACAGTTTTGGAGCTGGTGGTGATAAACATTATATATTGCTGATCAATAGCTAGAAACACAGTGGTATAATTGCCAAGATATGTACCCCATTCATCCAGTACAAAGTACCCTCAACAAGCCTACAAATCTATACAAATGCCCATTATAAACTCACAAATTTGTACAAACTGTGGTGAAAGGGTCTACAAAGTCTTTCAAGCACAGTCTATGAACTTACAAATTTGTACAAAATGCCCTCCAACAGCTCACAAATCATTACAAAGAACCCTGCTACAGTATACAAATATCATCCAAATTGGTCCAGATAATCATACAAATGTTCACAAAAGTGTGCAGATTTGATACAAATACAAATGGTGGTCAAGATTTGTACACTTTCGTACCAACACCCTCCTCATAATGTACACATACAAATCCAAGTTAGTGGTAATTTGTATACAAAAGTCTGACCCACTAGTGGACTTACAAATGTGAGAACAATCCATGGGCTCTCAGTACTATTGTAGCCCAGACTATCCCTCTCACATGTATATAGGCTGCTATGTTAAACCATGATATATGTGTTGTGAGCATGATCCAGGATCAGCCACCAATGCTAATGAGTCAGGTTCAAACCATGGGAATTGCCCCCTCAGCTCTGTGTTTGTGCTAAAGCCATTGGAAGGCTGATAAATACTAGATGCAGCCACATAGTACAGTATATAATATTTGTGTCATGGATGAAAGGCACAGACACAGAACAGCCCTGAAGACCAAAACAAACAACCAAACACACCCAGCAGTATGGGTGGTGGCAGCCTAAGGACACTGGAGGGTAATGAAAGTGCAAGGGGGAGAGGAGCAAGCTGCCATCGGTAGTCCACAGATGAAACCTGTAAAATACTTGAAGCCTGTAAACAAAGCTAACACCATCTGATCCTATAGACTGTGACTAGCACAGGGAGGGACTGGCACAGTCATGGAAATTCTGGAACCCACTTGAGCAGGACGCTTCCCACAGGAGCAGCTTTCGTGGAAGCATATCCTCATGGGTCCCATAGCTCGCTGGTGAAAGCACAGTGTGACACATTCTCTACATACCATACATCCCAGCTGCCTTCGCCTTGGCTCATTGCCTCTAGTTCACAGGCTAGATATAATATACACACCATGTCAACATCTGGGATACGTTGCCAATGCTCTATGCACCTCTACCCTGATGTTGAAGATACTAGTACTCTGCCCCCGGCCAAAACTCTATGCTCTCGCAAGTGGCAGAAGACGGGAAGGATATATTACAAGCCAGATGAGGAAGTATGGGGTCTCCCAGATGCTCAAATAATCCATCAGTGGTGGTAATCTGGCTTGAGAGATTTGTATTGACTTGGACCAGAAGCTGCCTTAGAAGTCTGGCATTCAGCCATGTACAATAATTATACCGTAATGATAGCACACAACCACAAAAGACAGACTATGGACTACATATTCAATTGTTAAATTAATGATCCACAACACAAGCCTGTCACCAGATCATGGGCGAAGTCTGGTGAAGGCACAAAGAATCTGTTGTGCAACCATCTCCCAGCCCATTCTGCCTCACAGCACCACTCTGAGCCAGTGATACCATATTCTTACCATGCCCATTGTACACTGCTAGCTCTACACTCAGCATCTTCATAATGGCCCTTCAATATGGTGCAAGATTGGTCCTACAGGATGGAGCTCCAGATGCTATGACTGGGGACAAGGCTTCCCAGTCCCAATTCAGTCTTGAGCCATGTCAAGGAGCTGTATGTTGCATTATCAATTACTGTACGAGACTATTTTGCTGGCCTACAGCAGAAAGGACTGTCAGTCCATCAGATCATGGATGGCTGCACACACCCCGATAGAACTTTCAGTGCTGGGTATTTGGGTACAATGGGTTGATGAGGGCTAAGTATTTGGGTGCATCCTTGAGTTTGCAAAGTAGGTTGGGGTATGAGTGCTGTTCTCATTTTACTCTTTCTGCAGGCTATGTGAGAGTCATTCCAGGAAATATCTTGCAAAGATTCTCCATGACTGCCTCTGCTGTTTTTGAATCGATGATATGGTTTGTTCCCTATTTTAAATAGCCCTCATACACTTATTTATGCTTCAGACACATGTTCTCATGATGGACAATGCATCAAACTGCATTACAACTTCAAATGAGCTTGCAAAGCTGGAAGTAACATACCAGGGTGTGAAATCATGAGGATGGTGTTTTGCACATATTATTACCCTGATGGCAAAGGTACAAACATAATCTCTTTGTATTTGAGACTATGATACCATTACAACACTACAGATGTTCATCTCCTTCTTCTTTAAGCAACACAAGTGTTGCAAGGGTAATTCAGTTATCCATCTGGCACATGAGGAAGAACTGAATGAGGAGGATCAAGATCTTGCTACTCTCCATAAAGGTGAACTCCTGGCAGGTGCTAGTCCAGATCAAGAGGCACATGATGAACAGGTTGTAATGTCCCTTCAGGATGTTGCTGTTGGAGAAATGAGATGAATATATGATATTGTCATCAGCTCTGCGGAGTCACAGAGCACCTTGAAGGATTTCCCAAACGTATGTCAGGCATAACTTGTAGTGTTCTTCACAGGTATGCTTGACAACTCCATAGGTCATGGGTCTTTCCAAGAAGGTTCATGACTCACCAACTTTGAAGGAGGCATTTGACAAACTTGTGGAAGCTGATATCACCCTGAAGACTGATTGCCTTATGCTAGCGCGATGCTGCCTGACTTACTGGAATACCGAGCACAAATGTCTCAATTTGTACCAAGACCTACAAACAACTGTCAATCGGTCTCTGACAATGCCTAGCTACAAGCTACAAGCTCAAGTCACTTGTCTTAACAGAGGATCAGTCTGCCCTTATTCCAGATCTTCTCGATGTTCTTGAGGTAAGTTATGGTTGATCTTATGGCTGTTGATGACATGAAGCTGATTTGTGGTAGATATTCAATGCTCCTACAAAGCTATTCTCAGAGAAGGCTGGTAAACAGATGCCATTGATCATATATATTATCCCTATGTTTGAAGACATGATGCAGCAGCTGCAGTCTGTGCACCAGGAGCATGAGATTGCTGCTGTCCTTTGGGTTGCTGCTCATGCTTCCTTGAAGGTTGTGCAGAAGTACTACTCACTTTCATCTGACTGTGAGGTCTATCATATTGCAATAGGTCGGCCATCTGTTTCTCATTGACATTTGTGCTACCTCTGATGTATTCTAGCAATGTGCCCCCATCGGAAGCTCATCTCATTCGAGAACCATGGGTGGGTTGCCAAAGACATTTAAGAAGTTCGTGCACTGGTTATCAATTGGAAGAGTCTTATAAGCAAAATGCCCCTGCCAGGGCTCCAGTAGATGGCAGACCTACTGCCTTTCCTTGCAAAAGAAGGTATGTCATTTGGCAGCCTCAATTCACTTGCATACTGAGCATCTTTTGGGAAGGGTGCTGCATGCTGGTCAACTTCTCTCGACTCGGCGCGCAGCCCACCCTAATGACATCAGACATGATGCAGTCATACCTGGACTCTGATACTGTAACAGTGGGTGAAAACTTTGATGTGATCAAGTACTGGTGGGATCTTCTCAAGACATTCCTGACTGTAGCAAGAATGGGTGGCTCTCTCATGACTGTAGCAAGAATGGCTCTCTCATTCTGTTCAGCACCTGGTACATCTAGCTCCTGCATTTGTGGTGATTCAATCATATGACAGGCTGCCCCAGCAACCTCTGTCAATGTTGAGTGCAACTTCTCAAGCAGGCAACAGACCATCATTTTCATGCAACACAATATGAGCCTGCAGACCTTCCGTGCTGAGATGGTGATCAGTTCGTGGCAAGATGCCCCTTTTTCAAGCTCTCACATGCCATATCCTTGATGAAGGATATTGTACGTGCATTTCCTGATGTTGCTTTTACTATGCACTAGTAGTATATATACTGACTGTTATGTATTAATTACCTGTACAAGGTTTTGCTCTGGAGCACCTTCAGGATTTGCTATACACCCTAAGCTTACACCATATGCATAAGAAATATTGTTCGCAGACTAGCCACACCAGTAACATGTTTTTGGTGCTTGTCTAGACAACACATCGAGGTGACGTGGTCTCCATGGAGACTTCAAACTCCACTTTCTGTGGAAATCGTTTCCATGGAACTAACTTGGGCAGTCCTTGGAACTGCCCATGCAAGTCCCTAGATTGCACTGAATGGACTGGATGAATTTCTTGGAATATAGGACTAGCTTTAGACACTGGACTATTAGTCTTTGCTGGACTCCTGGGCCTTTCTATATAATCAGATGTAAATCAATGAGTCAGGCTAATGGCAAAGCCAGATCATTGGACACAAATATGCTAAGGTCAACACTTTTTACCTTTGAGAGACTTCTTGGGATTTCAACATTAGAGCTTGGAAGTGAAGCACAAAAAACTTCTGTTTCCCCTACACAGTTCTGCAAACCATATACAAACTGAGGCCGTGTTATGATTTTCCCATGCCTATCTCATTCCATTTCCATTCTGAGCATTGCCATTGGACAGTACCTTTCTCTGAGTACAACTTCTCATGAATGCTATCTCTTTTCACATGTTATCTCTCTTGACTCACCTTCTACCAATGGGCGCCCTTGTATTTCTCATTTCTCTGAGTTACGTACTCACAGGATAGCTTACACATCCTTTCTTATCAGCTGATGCTCTAGGATTAATGTATTAGATCCCCTTTGTTACTGTAAAGCCTTTTACATTAAACAGCCTTTACAATTGTCTGTAATGTATTAGATTTCCGAGTACCCTATGCAGTGTCAGGCAGCACTGCTGAGCTTGAATATGACAGCCCCGGCATCCCCGGCATGGAGATCCAAATCGGGATTTGATCTGAGCTGTTGCCAATAATAGGTGGGTAGCCATACCTGGCCCTGCAGGCCACAGAAAAATACAGAACAAATACGGAAGAATCACAATAGATTTCTCGGGACAGGCATCATGGTGCCGGAGCTATAAATAGCGTGTGAACGTGTCTAGAGTGCCACACATCAGCCGTTAGCAGCTCATATAAAATCAGGAAAAATGCGCAAAAATCTGGGAAAAATCATGGAACCTGCTGTGGATGACGGCACACATGTGGCATCACTGAATTACATCAGCACATGCCAAATATGGCAGCTATTGATATGGGATACCTCCAGGATCTACATTTCAGCCTGTTTTCATATCTGGGGTTTATTTGTCTCTACTGTTGATGTTGTTACTAATGTAGCGGTTAAAATAGTGTATAGGAATAGGGGAGTGCTTGTCCCTAATCATGTGGTAGGGTACCATGAAGCTGTGCATTTCTGCATTTTTCCC